TGCATCCAAACACGATAGCGAACCTGGTCCAACCGCAGCGGTTTACAGCGGCTGCTTTCAAATCCGGCGCAATAACAAACTCCACCCCGGCGGGAACCGATGCTGCTAATCTGCCACCCTGGTCAATCACAAACATCATGAAACGTCTCCTCAATAGAAACGTTCTCCGGGGTCCGTCCTGCCAAACACAATTGCCGCAATCCAATTCATACTGCCTGCGCACCAGGAGAATAATATCACTATACAAATGCCCTGCAGAAAATGTCGCCAAAGCTACTCTACACAATGATGAGCACATGTTTACCTTTGAGTTTGCCGCTGGCGGACCTTGCTTGGCCTGACACAACAGTGTCTAGAACAAAAGGGACAGCAAGAACCGATGGGTGAGGAAAGATGCAGGCACATGCGATTACCTATATATGCCACCGCAAACGAATCTTCCCAAGACTGTCTTGCCCGTTTATATGGTCGGGCAGTTCCACAGAGATCCATGTCCATCCTGTCGGCTAAACACACTGGATGCACCTACCTTGCAAACGACGACTAGTGACTAATACTCAACTGCAATAGCAAGCAGCCAACCCGCGTGATCATCTGGAATACGATAGCGCAGTAATCAACCAGCGCTACCGGCCATATCATGTATGCAAAAGGCACTCCAAGACGATACGATTATCTTCAGGACAACGCGCCACGACAATACGTCAGGTTCATTGTCATGTCGCATACTTTCTAGCGAGTGCAGTGATCATTCGACAGCATCGAAACAAGATAGCAAACCTGGCGCAGTCGCGGCGGTTAACAGCAGCTGCTTTCACATCCGGCGCAACCTCAAACTCCAAACCGGCCAACACCTGTGCAGCACGCCACCATCTCTGGTCACCGACGAACATCGCGAAACGTTTCCCCAACACTCAGGCGTTCTTGGAGGTCAGTCCTTCCGAACATATATTGCCTCAAACCAATACCTACTTCCTGTATTCCAGGAGAGTAATATCACTATACAAATGCACTGCATACAATGTCTCTAAAGCTGCTCCACAACGTGTTTAGCACTTATTCAACGATGTTCCTTTCCTCTAACGGACCTTGCGTCGCCTGACACTACAGAGCCTAGAGCAAAAGGACGAACGAGAACCGAGGTATGGGGAAAGATTCAGGCACAAGGGATTCATTGTATACGCCACGGAAAACGAATCTTACCAAGACGGTCTTGCCCGTTTAAACGGTTTAAATCGGTCAATTCCGCAGAGATCCGCATCTATCCTTTCAGCAAAACACACTGGATGCAACTACCTTGCAAACGACGACCAGTGGCGAAGAACCTAGTGCAACAGCAACCAGCCAACCTGTTAATTCAGCTACTATAGGACCTTGCAGGAATCCAGCTGCTCCACAGGCCCTACCAAGAGTGTAATAGGCACTCCAAGACGATACGATTATCTTCAGGACGACGCGCCACGACAATACGTCCGGTTCATTGTGTTGTCGCATACTCTCTAACGAGTGCAGTGATCATTTGACTGCATCCAAACACGATAGCGAACCTGGTCCAACCGCAGCGGTTTACAGCGGCTGCTTTCAAATCCGGCGCAATAACAAACTCCACCCCGGCGGGAACCGATGCTGCTAATCTGCCACCCTGGTCAATCACAAACATCATGAAACGTCTCCTCAATACTT